AAATCAACTTTACCCCCTGCCCTTTTTAAAAAAAAAAACTTTAAACCCTTCCTGTACATCTCAAACTTTCGGGGTTTTTCCCAAAACTTTTTTGCATATTCCATAAAAACAATAAACTGTTGGGTTAAAAACTGGGGTCCCCTAAAAAAAGGGGAAATTTTTTCTGTCGTCAATTCTTTAAGAAAAATTTACATGCTTTATTGATGTTACATACCCCCTCTCAAAATTTTCGTTTTTTCAACATGTCATTATTTTAAAATGAGCTTTCCTTTTCCCAAAAAATTGAACCCTTTTTTTAATACAACTGCTGAATCAATTTGTTTTTCGAATTAAGAGAAATTTGTGCAAAATTTTCCCAATTGCCTTGAAGTTGTAATATATGTACACCTTGGTCGTATTGACCCTTTAGGATATACCAGATACATTCCATTCATCAAGTCCATCTAAAACAATCAGGCATCTTTCTTCACACATCACTCTCTCTATTATATCAATTGTATATTTGTTTTGTTTTCCTAAAGCAGGTAATATAGTATTTCTTATCAATATAATCTTACATTTATTATTTGATCATTTTACTTCCCTGAGAAAAATAACAAAAACAAAATCAAATCTGATCAATTGATTAACCTCATAATTGATCAAAGTGGTGGTCATCTTCTTCAACAGGGTCATGTGGCGTGACACCAGTTTTAATGATAGCCATTTCACAAAGGATGTTTTACCAAGTCCAGGTTCTGCGGGCAAAATAAAAATTTTTGGGATGTTTTGTTGAAATTTTTAAATAAAGTTTTTAAAGAGTTCACAAAATTTCCCCCTTGTGAATAAAACATCTTTTTTTTAAACTTTAGGGTAATTAGAAAAAACCTTTTTCTGTTTTCCCTTTTATCTGTAGTGTTCTTTCCCCCTTTTTCAAAAGTTCTGTTTTCCTTTAAAACCCAAAAGGTAAGGCCGGTTTTATAGACATTTTTTTAAGGAAAAGGGATCGACTTTTAAACTAAACCGGGGCAGTGTTTAAAGTACTTTCAGTTTTCTCTGTAGAAATTCTGAGTTCGAAATGCCAAAAACTATAAAACAAAATATAAAAAAATTTTGGGAAATGAAATGCCTTTTTTTTGAAAATTTTTATTTAAACAAAGACTCATTTTTGGGTTTCATAGAAATAAATATCTTGTGGGTTTGAAAAAATTTACATTGTTGGGCATTTTCAAACAGAGTAATTAATTTACAACACTTTTACAGCTATGCAACATTATAGTATCAATGTAATTTTTTTTACTATTTTTCTCTATACAAGAAGAATTTAAGTGACCCGGGATATGTAGTTTTTAAAACAAGGGGTGTGTGTGATTAATATATAAAAATGTCTAAGCTGTAGGCATTGTAGTTCAGACGAGAAGGTTGTTATGTGTTTTCCTAAGTCCATACTGGGGCTGGGTCAACATATACCCCAAGGGGCATGTACTAACATTAATTTTGAAGAGGACCTCTAGGTGATGCTATATGTAAATGCCAAATATCTATACCCTGGCAATGATGGTTCTGTAGAATAGGTGTTACTAAGTACATGGAAACAAAGTGACCCACCGCAGGGAGGATTCATTATAATTCTAAGGACAAGATTTACATAACTTTTGTAGAGGCCACAAGGCAAGGCAACATAAAATATGGCTAAGTGTTAAGAAAAGTATATTAACAAAAGGAGTTTTATCCGATATTTGTATTTTTAGAAAAGTTTTTAGGACATAATTTTCATTTATAATTCTATGTTAACTAAATGTATCAAAGGATGCAGCCACTTTTTACCAAAGGAACATGATTATAAACTTTTCAACAAAAAATATTTTACATTGTAGTTATTCATGTGTATTTTTTAATACTTCAGTTTTCATTTTAAATATAAATTTAAGTGTAATAATTTAAGCTCATGTGACTTACTTTTGCATCCGACTGCAACTATTAATCTAAAAAAGGAGCAATTAAGGACCATTCTGATGAAGTTTGGTCAAAAACTACCACACGGTTAAGAAAGGTTTGCTGTTTAAAGCAGTTGTTGATAATGATGAAAGACATCATGCCATCATAAATTCTTGCCTCTTAGAACTTTGTGGTCAGTCTAAGCTTAAAATTTAGCAGGCCATTAAGGCTCTCCTTTTGAATGCTGATCAAATTTTGCAAGTTTCCTTGTGTAAATGGCCACACAATGATGAGGCTTAATATTGGATAAATCATCATGAAACTTCCAAAAATATAGTACATGTTGTTGAAAAACATGATATTCCATTATTTAATTTCACAACAAACACAAATTTAACGCACAATTAATGCTCAATAAATGCGATTGTACGTTAAACACAATGTTGCAAAATAACATTGTAAGTTAAAAATGATTAAACACCTTTATTTTATGCTTTTCAGTGGATTACTGATTTATCCGTGAAAATTGTATTTGATAATTTCACAGTGTTATCAAAATGTAATTTCACACTTTTCAATGACTAAACTACTTTTTTAAGATTTTCCACCTGTGGTACCTCAATTTTATTTTTGCTGACAATTCTGACAATGTCAGGCTGTTTAAAGAAAAGCAAAGCTGAAATTGATAAATAACTTAAATGTCAAAAGTAATAAAAATTCATTCAAATTCCAATTTCTAATTTTTTTGTTTCATTTTTACAGTCTGAAAAGTACATTCCTTCCACATGCAAAACTGCTCTTGATGACATTTGGGCATATTAAAATATCCTACGAGCAATAACTGCCGTATGCTTTATGAAAACTTGAATAACAATAACAGCTACCCCCGTAGAATAAGTAAACAACCCAGCGTTCCTGAGCAAGCCTTTGAAGTTTTCCATTTTCCTGGCTGCTATATTTGAATGATTTCACATCTGTCAACACTTATTTTTTGTCTGTTACAATCCTCAAATAAGTTTTCTTTCTTTTAAAAAGGTGTATGACTAACATATCCAAATGATATCCCTCTGAATCAAACACAATTATTTTCCTCCCGTGAAATACACAACTTTAAAAAATGGATGCCGCTTACATTTAACAAAGCCAGGTCTAATATAAATTCGCAGTAAGTAACGGAAATATGGATGGATGGTTTGACTTTTTCTCCTACAATAATTGTTTGTTTTTATTATTAAAACAAGCGATCATTCATATTTTATTAATAAAATAAACAATATCACCGTCATTTAACGTTGATTGTATTTAATGAGAAATTCCGACTAAACGGGGCTCTCGATGGGGGAAAGCAGATTTTAATATTTACGTTAATATGGAAATTTCGTTTTAACTTATTTTTAAGCATAAAATAAAAAGAAAATTTGTTTGTTTGTTGTGTAAGATGTAATTTTATTTCATCTCGTGAACTATAAAAACAGTATTCTCACGAGTGGTGTAGCCACTCGTGAGAATACTGTTTTTAAAGCCCACTCGATGAAATAAAATTTCATCTTACACACAAACAAACAAATATCCTCTATTTAATACCCATCATAGTCTGGTAGCGTTATCTCATGGATGTAACATAACATTGTACAAATATTTGGCTAGATTTGCCTTCTCTTTAACAATCCTCACACATATTTGAATTATGAACAAGAAATCGTATTCATTAACGATACTTGTACCAAGTGCTTCAAACTGAGGTATTTTAACAGGCGTTTGCTTAAGGATGCTGCAGATTGGTGCACCAGCCAACGCAACACTTTTTTTGCATGTCACGACATCAACGTGAATAGTTATTAGAAATGTTATAGAAGATTGAGTCAACCATTTGAGGTTTAGTTTTAATGAGTAGATAGCATTAATCGAGCCATTGTCAAAGCTAAAGTGAACAAAACACATGTATTGTACAAATTGAGAGCTTACACAACCATCTATGTACATGTACATAGTTCGTGCAAAACGTGGCTAAAAGCAAGATAATTGCTTAGTTGCATTAATATTTGAACACCCTTTGTATAATATTATGTCTCTTAATTGAAAAGTTTCAGCATAATCTATCTGGCCAATATTGACACGGGCCAATTTTGATACAAATATAAGACCATTTATACATGCACATAAGATTATAAGTAATAGAAAGAGCATCGAAACAGGAGACTATCTGATTTGTACGAGGGGGCGTAGTCTCTGAGTATTAATCAGATTGCCGAGTGTTTTGGTGTTCTTTCTCTTTTGTATCATAGTCAAAAATATTTACACGTTCCCTGATGTCACAATATGAAACTCCAGAAAAAAGTAACCAATGAACGAGCATCTGAATATGATATTTCTGTCGCTATCCCTTTCTCTGTCGTCACAATATGTAAACCCCAGACATAATGAACCGATCAATGGGCATGCTCTGGAGTGCGGGTAACTAATACCTGCACTCCAGTTAAAGCACTGTACATGTATATGTATACGATTTAACTCTGTAACATTTTCAACAGAAAGGTCCCCAAACTATGATACAAGATTAGTAAAGTGCATGTGTAAATTTTGATCACAAAAGCTAATTTTATTACAATAATGAATATGATCTGTTCTGTAATTTTATACAGTAGTTTTACTGTTTCATGAAGCAAATACTATAAGTTTATTGTATATTGTTGAGTACAAAACTGAATTATTTTGGATAAGTTCACAGCATTGAAATTAATCTAATATTGTCCAGGCGGTAGTTGAATCAAATGTATGTTTTGTAGCAGTGTCTACAATCTAGTGTTTCTGTTTTACACTTAAAGTAATCTAGAGCTTTTATACACACACCTGCCTCCTTAACTAGTTCAAAACTCTATGATCTGTTTTTGACATGCAAAATTATTACAGAAAATGAAGCCAGAAGGTACATGTAGATAGAATGTAGTATCAAGTTGATTTCTGATTTGAAAATATGAGCCTAAATTGACCAGATCTAATTATGAGTTACATTGGGATCACACTGGAATTTAATTGGTTACATTTTTACATTTGTATGGTGTGAAACGAATGTTTATACTCACTCTTTTTTGCTGCTATATATTCTTCTTCTTCTTTCTGTTTATTTGCTGCTAAAACCTTTTGCAACTCTTCATTAGCTGTTTGTTTGACTTGGTCAACAGCAGCCTCAGATTCCTTTAAAATTTTGTATGTACCTTCATCTGTTTCAGTTTTCATTTTTTTCACTCCTTTATCAGTTGCCTTTTTTATTCTTTTGAGAGAAACTTTTGTTTGCTTCTCAAGTTTATCAATAGCAGATTTTGATATCTCTTCAATTTCAGCTAGTGTAATTGTTTCTTTATCTTTCAATGTTTTTAAAGACTGTTTAGTTGTTTCTACAAGCTCCAATTTTCTTTTTTCTGCTTCTCTTTTGAATTTATCACCTTGTGTCTTAATGTTGTCATGTGCGACCTTTGCAACATCATCAAGCACTTTCCGCACATCATCTTTACCAATGAGCAATGTATCCTTCTCTAACTAAAATGAAAAATTAATTATATATCATTATTCTTATCTGACAATAACAATTCTCACACAGGAAGCCTGTATCATAATCTAGCATTTTAAGACAAAGACGTTACACTCAAGTTTAGGCTTTTTACGAAAATGTTTTGTATATAAAGGTGATTGTCTCCTTTTAACATTTTCGAAGTAAAATAACATTCAAAAGGTGATTTAATCAAAGGATAAGTATAATTATCATGTATCAGTTTTAAAAACTATCTAATATTTAACATATGAATCATTACTATAAAGGGACCTTCAGCTTTTCTAAGGGTTAAATATGCTATCTTTACATAAATCGTTTCATATACATGTAAAGGCCCTGTCACACTAGACTGCGCGTGTACTGTGTTTGCACGGCGTTATTAAATTCAACAAAGCGCCGCAAGATCGCAAGAAAAATCTTATATGTTTGATGACATGAAGACCTTATGGCGTCTTCACGGCGTCCACACGGCGATACTGACCATTGCTACGGAGCTTCCATGGCGTCGCAATGCGTTCTTACGGCGTTTTAATTGGCGATTTTATGCGTTCGGACTGCGCTTCTACTGCGTTCTTTGCGCTTCCAATGCGCTTTCACAGCACTCACATGCCGCTATCGCTGCGTTCACACTGCGCTGTATAGTCGTGTACCAGCTGCACCTGCATGCAAGCAAGCAGTATTCCAGTTTGTTTTCGTTCATCATCAATGGTTAAAAGAACATTTACTTGCAAACACGTTCTTCTATATATACAGCGAAAACCCTCTATTAAGACCAAAAAGGGGACTGGACTAAAGTGGTTTTAATAGCGGGTGGTCTTAATTGTTAATATATAATTATCAAGGCATATATAACCTTTAAATATTACTTTGTTATAATATCTAATCATAATTAGAACATTAGTCTGAAAATATTTAATAAAAAGATTAAATTTTCGTAGGTCTTGATTTTTGTACATAATTCACGTATTAATTAAAAATAAATTATTCACAAAATACATGTGCAGAAAGTAACATTGAACCAATCTGATGTTTATGTTCCCATCTTAATACAAATTTTCACAGAAAATTCCGTTCTTTTTAAAATTGGTCTAAATAGAGGGTTGTCCTAATTCTGGGGTGGTCTTAAGTGGGGATTCTACTGTACCATATTCTGCAATTTCAGATGAACGCAGTGTAATCGCATTGAGTACCCAATGGTCGCCGTAACAGTGCCGTATAGTCGCAGTATGAGAGTTTTTTAGAAATAAAAAAGCTCTGTTTAAGCGCCGTACACACGCAGTATAAGTGCGACAGAGACGCCGCACAATCTCCATACAAAGGCCGTGGCTTATTACGCGTGCATTCGGCAATCCTTCTGCTTTTTCACGGCGCTCCTGTTGCGTTGTAGGAGATGCTTCTGAGTTGCTACGGCATCTTTACTGCGAACCAACAGCGCTCTTATCAGAACGCAGAATGACGACGTTTGTTTTGAGCATGCTTAAACCGTCGGTCGGCGTTCTATGCAATGCCACTGCGATGCTGCGGTGATGTTTGCTATCTTACCTCGGCGTTCTGAATTTTCTTTGGACTCCATGAGAACGCCATTCATGTGTGGCAGGGGATTCATCGTCAAATCGAAGGAAGAAAGGTGGAAAATGAAATTTATCAATGATAAAATGCATAAAGATAATCAAACCCCTCGATATCTATCATCGACCAGTCCGCACTCTATATTCAAATGACAATTCGTTTCCCGATGTTGTATTTTTAACAAACACACTAAAGCGTTATAAATACATCTCGGGACGCTGTTTTGAAGAATGCTTAACAGTGAAATGATGCACTTTTATAAAGATAAAATTATTGAACTGCTAAGTTTGAAACATCACAGATTCGTTAATCCAACAGAAAATAGTAAAGTCTAACTTGCCCATGTGACCACGTGTATTAAGCGACTTTTGTCTTATGCGACCACAGTAAATTCTCTCTTTATCTTGAATGTATTAAGCGACTTTTGCTCAACGCGACCAGCGACCGCTAGTTAAGTCAGCTTATTGAAATTAAGCAAGCTCTTTTACCTGTCAAGTGTTTGTGTTATAGACAACGCCGCCTCCTTATGTCTCAAGTGTCAACAATCAAAACACAACATGTGAAAAACTATATTTCCCAAACATTTAGCACATGAAAATGAAGTTAAGTATAACTTGACGCGTATTATCCAATAAAATCGGTAAACAATGCAACGCTCCGCCCCTACTGATGGTGTATACATTTCGCTGTTGATATTTAGACTGCATTGAATTGACCTTTATCAGCAATAAAATAAGTCGTTGCAATTAGATGTTGCTTAGTTATTTATCTTAAACGAAAAAATGCACAACAGAAAGCATCTTCACTTATAAGATTGTTCCTGTCGAAGACAAGGAAAAACAATGGAGAAGCTTAAAATTTCAGGAAAAAATGTCAAACATGTACGTGTAATGGATTCAATAAATATCAGAAAGTTACTTATTTTATTTTATGTATTCAAATCACCGGTGCGTTATTATTATTTAAAACATTTATATAAATGAAGTTAAAAAACTTCCCCACCACAAAAGAAAGATGTCAAGAATAAAAGAATAAATTTTTATTTCTTTCTCATTAAGCAACCATTTTTGGTCATTCCCCTGTGGGGTCGCTTAATACACGCTTGACTGTATTGAACAATAATTCGTCGCCATTAACTTAATTAAATGTAGAATTTTATGGCATGAAATACATACTTCAGTCAGGTGTTAACATTTTGTTCCTGTTTCATTTTAACTGACATATTTTACAAAGAAACATTATTATTTTGCAAGTAAGACATATCATAAATCCGATTATCCTTATATAAATCAACCGCGCATGAACATGTTTTCATCATACAAAACCAAACGTAACATAAACTTTGTATTGAGTAGTTACACATTGGTCAAAACTATATCACTGAATACAATAGTAAGTTTTACAAACCTCAGATAATCTTTTCCGTGCTAACTTTGCATTATTATCAGAAATCAAGTGTCCAGTATCTGACAGAAGGTTATCAAGGTCAATGAAATATTGCTTTAAATCTTTATCCACCACTTCCAGAATAGGGGCGTGTCGGACAGCTTTACCAATCTCTCTACCCTGTGGATATAGAATCAAGACATACAGGTCCTTTATTCATGGGGCGTAGCTTGGTCGATATTGATATGCAGACCAATTTAAAGAAGAGTTTGGGAGCATACAGTCCAAAATTAGTTTTTTATGCTCTTGATTGTTAGAGATGTGTTTTCCTTATATTTGTTATAAAAACGTAAGGGGATATCAAGTATTATAGGTAGACAAAAATATATTTATGTTTTACTATTACCACGGTACATGTTCCTCCTTGTTAATTTGTGTCATAATCAGTATAGTTAATACAAACACAGAAATTCGATTGATAATGTCTGGCAGAGCCAGACGTCTTTATTGTCTAAGAATTGATTATGATATAATCAAAAGATTAACCAGAAACTTCAAATACGCTTTCATATAGAAAACAATTGTAGCAAACGTTATGATAGATGACACAAAGTTGGACAACAAAAACCACCAAGTATTACAGGTAGACAAAAAAAAATTATATTTTGAGTAACTTTAAAAAAAGGCCAGAGCCTATAGAAGCTACGCTACTGTCTATTTCCTTATCTCTTACCTAAATAGCTTTCTTATATATTTATTGTTTCAAAGGGTAGCGTATTTTTTAACAATACCTAATAACAGGATAGTTTTTATAAAAATTAAGAACAAAAACATATTTATATGTTTAACTACCTAGAAATAATAAAATAAATGTCACAGCCTGTAGAAGCTACGCTATTGTCTATTTTATTATTTCTCACCTATATCATTTCATCAAATATTTATTGTTTCAAAGGGTAGCTTATTTTTGAGAATACTTATTAACAGGATTTCTTTTTACAACAATATGAACATTACCACAGGAATCTTCAGATATTTTTTCTTATGAAATCAAATCCCACGTTCAGAAGCATTTAAGGTTTAACATAAAGATAAATTTGTTTTGCAAAATTTCTCCACATTTTATTCTTTAAGATTTTATATGCAATGTTAATTCTATCAAACTGGCTTGAACTTGCATTATGAAATTTTAGATAAGAAATGCGTCTGAAAGGCAGGGATGCCCAACTATGTTTGACAGTTCACTGAATAATATGAATAAAGATGCAGTGACAGGACAGTATAGTTGGTATCTCATAAAAACGTTTTTGTAAACAAAACCTATAAAGTAAATATTTTCGTTGATAAAAACAGCTTTCAAATACCTACATGGCCATAATTTACGGGTGGGTGACAGTGCTCATTTTTGTCTGTATATGAGCATAACTTAAAAAGAAGAGGGCCATAATGGCCCTTATATCGCTCACTTGATTATTGAGGCTCTTAATAAATACAAGCTATGAATTAAAAGAAGATAAATGTCATAATCTGATATCAAAACGATCATACATGCACCTAAAAAGTGCAATTATAAACAAGGTTTTTCCATATATGTACAACCAGGTTATTGACCCGAAATAACCCATATACATAATATTATTCGAACATGAGAATTTATTAATCAATTTTGTTAACAAATTTTTAGGATATATAGGCTAAAAATAATATAGTTAAAGTGTTTTGAGTGTTTACAAGACTTTTTCACATCTGGGCTCTATGGCCTAGTTTATGACTATAGATGACCCGTATTCAAAATTGAGAATTAAATCAACATTAAAATTGTTCTGACCAAGTTCAAGAATATTTAGGCAAAAATATTGCCTATAGATTTTAAACAACGTTATTTTTTATTTCAGCTGTGCGACCTAGTTTTTGACCATTATGACCCATATACAAACTTGAGCCAGAAATCTATAAACAACCTTTCTGACCAATTCGATGATAATTATGTTAACGGAAACAGAACCCTCTAGATGTACCATATTCTGGCCGTGTGGCTAGTTTTTGACCCAAGATGACTCATTTACAGACTTGAGTTAGAAATCAACAAACAACCTTTTTGACACATTTTCGGAATATTTAGGCTGAAAATATTCCCCAGCGTAGTATAAAAAATTAGTACAAAAATGTTTTTGTTCCATATTTGGTCTAAGTGACATAGGGTGATACATCTTCAAGTCAAGATAATTATCAAAATAACCATTCAGACCAAAACAGAAGCCTCTAGAATGTGATCATGTTTTATATGTTTAGCTTTTGATCCCATTTGACCTATATTTGTATTTGAACAAGAAATCACCAAAACAACCTTTCTGACAAATATCAGATTTTTTACCAAAACAGAAGCCTATAGAGTGCCAACAAAGTTTTTCTGTATTCTGGCTATGCGACCAAGTTTTTGACCTTAAATGACTCATATTCGAATTTTAGCTAAAAAAATTATTACAACTACCCTCTGGCCAATTTTCAGAATATTTGTTCTGTAAATGTTTCCTATTTACTTTTACAAGGTTTTTTTTATTTGAGCTGTGTAACCTGATTTTTGACCCCGGATGACCAATATTTAAAACTGACTTAGAAATCACCTTAACAACCTTTCTTGACAATTTCCAGGATATTTAGACTGAAACAGTAGCCTCAAGAGTATTAACAAAGTGTTTCACTTTTAAGCTATGTGAGCTAGTTTTTACCCATGTTAATCCATATTAGATATTGAGCTAGAAATCATCTTAACAACTTTGCTGACAAACTTTTAGGAATGTGAGACGTGTAATGCTTCCTTTAGGATGGTAACAGGATATTTTCCATGTTGAGCTATGTGATGTAGTTTTTGACCCCATATAAACCATCTAGAGCATGAGCTAGAAAACATTTTGTCAACATTTCTGATCATTTTCAAGGATATTTGAACAAAAAAGCAGTCCCCGAGGGCTTCAGCCCGAGGGTATTATTCATTTCAGGGCCGAACATCACCTTTTGGCCCATCTATGACGTGTATTAATGTCTTTAAAACACTTGATAGATCTAAGAATTACTTTGATAATTCTTTCGTTGAAATTCCTATCTCGGTAGATTTCAACTGAAAATTATACAGAAGAAACTTCAACAGAGTTGCTTCCCTTTTGTGTAGTGTATGCAGCACGATTTATTTTCACGAAATGAAATTGTAGCTAGTACTGTTTTCTTAAAATTTTAATAAAGCTGTGTGTGTAGGAATAATGCTTATGTTCGATTTATAAAATCAATCTATTTGTGCTTCAATCCTACTTTTACTTTTACAGCTAGCTGTTTTGATGACTTAAAATGTGACGTCATTGTTTCAGTTTGTGACCGTAGTACTGTGTTCAGCGGGCTGATTATTATTATCGGTTTTCGGCCTCGAGCCACAAACTGGTAATCGGTCACGTGACACTCAAAATAGGTTGAAAACATAGGCAAATTTGTTACTATACATAGTAACAAGTGTATTAAAATATTTTTTCGATATGTGGGCTGTGCGACCTAGTATTTGACCCCATATGGCCCATACTGAACTTGAATTAGAAATCCCAAACAACCTTTCTGATCAATTTCCTAAAACTGTAGCACCTAGAGTGACAAGAAGGTTTTTCCATATTTGGACTGTATTACCTAGTTTTTGACCTAGGTGACCCATATCCGAACTTGACATACCATATCATTATACTTAATATCTTTGCCAAAACAAACAAAATGCCAAAAAAATGAATCAAGATCAGTTTATACAAGACAGAGTTATTGGTCTTAAAAGGTGTTCGAACGCACACGGAGGGACAAGTTAGAGGTGTAACACTATATATATACATGTTTCCTTTTTATTGCCATGAATAAATTTTCATAATATCTTATTTTACAAGACATGTACATTTAAAAGTTTCATTAATTTGACATCTTAATTTATTTTGTTTATCCAAAATTTCTTCCCATAATAAATTTGTTTCAAATCGTTAATGTCTTACATTTGATAAAGAAAACATATTATTTTATATCAATATGATAAATGTAAGTTTCATATTAAAACCATGATCGTTTCCTAAATAAAGAATAATAAAGTTTGCAAGACAAGAAGATCAGCAGTGGTCCAGGATTTCGTGTCGTGATAAACATTTATCTTAAGCCAGTTTTTTGCTAATAATTTACTCTTTCTCTCCCTTATTTGAAAGGAAAAAGAAAACAGCCTGCTAACGGATCAAAGGTAGGATGGTGCCTTAGCCCCGGAAGCAACCCCCCCCCCCTCAGTGGATATATGCCTGTGAAAGATTTAGCTTCTTTGAACAGCCTTTGCTAAATAAAAGTACTTGCATTAATAGATGTGAATAAGGTTCGGGTCACAGTGTAAAAAAATAGCATGTTGTGTCAAAGAATATGTTTTGTCCAAGTATGAATATGTGTCAATGAAAATCAGCATTTAAGCAAAATTCAATAACTTTAGTTTGATTTCCAGGTCATACTTGAATTATATAACACTAATAGGATTATGGTGTTCAAATATAAATCCTCTCTTTCTCTCTCTCTCTTTCTCTCTCAACTTCTAAAATTATGACCATTTTCGAAAATTTCGATCATTTAACATTTACAATAGATGCCATTTTATGGGAATATGACAACTTGCCAAAATCATTTTTAAATTAAATAATGGTCTAAATAGCTCGTCAGGTAATTTAAACGACAGAACAAGAAAAAGAAAAAAGTAAAAGTTACTTTACCTTGTCAAAAATGTTTCCTTTCTTACTAAGATCATCTGTAACTTTTGTCTCAAAACATTTGCAGTTTATGATGACACTGTTGACTCCATTAAAATCTGTTTCTGATGCAGATACTACATCTTTATAACCATCTGGTGGCATGAAGCACTAAGCTACCTCCCAGGATTTACTGCACCATTGTGTAGCATCAGTGTTTTTGTAGGATGGGCCATTGTATCTATGGGCCTTCTGTATTTCAGCATTGAAATTGTGACAGATATTGTTCGGACAACCAGCAAGAAGAAAAGTAGTAGCAGAATCTTTATGATAACTGCATTTTCTGTGCTTAATGTTACAAATTCTGTTGTTCGTATGACACTTGACTACATTTTCTGTGCAACAATTCAAACAATTTGTTCCAGGTGGAAGACCCTGTTTGTTACATATATCTGTTAAACATTTCTGCTGAAACTGTTCAATTTCATCTTCAACAAAAGGTTCAATACCTTCTTTTGTAATCAAGACTGCTAAACTAGCCTTTACCCAGTTATTATATCTCGATTCAGACAATTTCTTTGACAAAGACACTGAAGCCATGCCTATGAATTGTTCAATTCCTCAGTGAATCTAATCCATATCACAAATTGTATTACAATAATGTCATCAATATTCTTTTAGTAATCATAAATCAAAGACAGACTTATGCATGAAGGTACTGGGAATTCTCTACTTTAGGTTTAAGATACATAAAACAATATTCACATTTTCTTTACAGCCATACAATACCATATCGATATGTAGTTTTCCTCCATTGTACACTTGTTACCTAAAATAAGAAATTAATGATATTTCTATTTGATGTTAGAAAACAATTCTGAAATAAACATTTATAACAAGAATATTTTCATTTGATACCATGGGTTAGAAACTATCTATTTCAAAAAGTAGAACAGAGCGATGATGGTCCTTGATCTGTCATCTGAGAACCATTGTAAGAAAATCTCATATACTTGTTAATTTATGTTTAATTGTTAGGTTGCAATTATTTAGGATTGTCCAAGGTAAACTTTTGATATCACACAATGAAGTGTAATGATACATGCCAAATCTTGATGCTCTACAGATTCAGGAAATATGATTCAAATACTAGGTTTTCCTAGATATAGATTACAGTGGTTTTTAGTCTTATACAGGCTGTACCCCTAGCCCACAGGCTATTTCACCTTGCCAAAACCTGCGATACTTTCCCCTAAAATGAAGCCCATTAAACAGACAGTTATTGTAGTATAACAAATTACATTACAAAATTATCAACTCTAAATAAGAAAACAGAAATTTCAAATGTAAATTTTTATTAGAATTATGGCTATATTAAATTATCAGTTGTTTGTGTTTATTTCAGCTTTCACTCTTGACAGTGCAGTAGACAAAGCGCCCGTGTTCATGTCCACGTCATTGTTAGGCATGGTAGGTTAGGTATTATATAATATTATGATTGTATAAAAAATAACATTTCGTAATCGTTTTATGTTTTAAATAGTCTGATTTTTAACATGTTATATAAAATCAAATATAAAACACAATTTTATCACTTGACATGTAGTTGTTTTCTTCATAAAGAGGGGAACAAAAATAGAAGAAACGATACACACTCTTATTAAAATAAAACTATATAAAGTTGTTGACACTCCCAATGTTGAATAATAATAATACAGACTTACCCTTACAATTGGATTTTCCTAATATCATTCCAGGACAGTAAACCTTTATTCCAGTTATCATATTTCGACTTTGCTTTTAGTGTTTTTAATGAATTAGTTTTTCCTTTTTTGTTAACAATGTAAAACTTATGGGTATAATGCCTACGCCTAGTTTTGCTTACGTATAACAGTTTTATTATTCGCGTTTATTTGCGTGTTTAAAACAATTTTTGCGTCATTTGTTCATACCATAGATTTTGTAGGCAAATAAACGTAGTTTTTTCATAGATTTTTTTTGTGTCCACTTGAACAATACCACATTGTATTTTATTTCAGTTCAAATTGATGTATTGATATTTAATGTATTCAAATCTTAACATAAAATGGCAGGACTATTCGTCTAATTCAAAACTTAACAATTATCTGATAAAGGGGACTGATTGTCTTTTGTTAAAGGTGTAAATCTGTATATAATTAAATATTTGTACAGTAGATTTATATAGCTACATGTATCTTTACAAACATTTTAAGCTCGTGAGAAGCATAAGCTTTTGTATATGAAAAAATATCTGTCGCGATTCGAACTCGTGACCACTTTGATCTAAAGCAATATAAACACAATTCTCATTATATCTAACAAGATTAATATGCGCTCATTCGTAACAACATATACAATGTATATGGAACTTTAAAATTAGTAATATAAATAATACCGTTCATGCAATTGATCTGACTGGTTTCTTGGTTTATGACTACAGAAAGTCTTATTATTATGTATCCTAATCTTGTGTTTCTGCTAAAAAAATCGAAATATTGTTTTTAAATCATGTTGAATAAACAAATATAACAGAGTCATGTCTCTCAGTGTAATAGTACAAGCAACCCGATCATCAGTGAATGCGGTCATGGGAGATAACTAGAACATTAAGTTTTTAGGTCTAAATAGATTAGTCGCCCCTGGGGTTTATTGCACACGAAATATTGACCGGGTTTTCTTATGACTTTGAAAGAGTCATATGTTTTACTGCTGAACGACATGATTAATTTTGCGACTATTAAAATTATACAAAATAATAAAAACATTTACATGCATATGCTAAACATTTTTGTTCCCATTCGTTTTTCAATTTATTTCAAAAACATTGGTTATTTTCATTGTCCATTCGATGAATAATATTTTCTTATCTCCGACAACAAATAATGACTGCTCATCTGGTTGATTTCCATAATGTGGTAGCTTTTTCAGACGTCATAACATGAAACCAGACTAAAAAGCGCTGAAAATGATGTCGTATCAAATTCAGCTTAAACACGTTGTCCATCTATATAAACACTCAAGTCTCAATAGATAAGTATTTTTCTTTTGTCTCCCTTTTTCATTTATAATCCTGATTGACAACATATTAAAAGTATTATGATATTGTCGCGATCAGAATTCGGTTTAAGTAATTTCATTGATTTGAAGACTTTCTTTTCTTGCTAGTACTAATAGTAATACAGTCATACTAGGGCGGTTTAAGCCCCATTTACACAGTCCCGGTTTGCCACGGGGTAAGTACTGTTTTAAATTGGACAAAACTGCATCGGCGCAGGGGCCGTATATGGTTATAGTATATTCCAGATCTTCTAATTGCAATTTCTTTACTCATTTTATTTTTCCCTCGCTATTGTCTGCACTGACGTATTTCCGAATTCACGCTAGCATTAAAGCAGTTTCACAGCAAATAACGAAATAGAACGACTGAATATCAATGCCACGTTTTAGCTATGAATTTAGCTATGTGTGAGAACGCTTCCCCTTACACGCTATTCTAAAAATAGATTTTATCCAATCAACACTGCACATGATTAAACTGACTTTAGACAACCGCCTATACATTTATTTACAAGCTATATGTTTAGAAATTTTATTATTTTCTATTATAAGAGAAAAACAAGCTGAAAATCGAATTTAAGGACAAACAAACAATGTGCTTATGGAATATGTAAAAGTGACTCTGGCCGGAAATGGAACCTTTTTTTCATACGATTTCCGCAAAATAAAAGGACGCCCGAAAAATGCACTCGCTTGGCAAAAACCAACACCAACTACAACACAAATAACATTATTACTTATTAAAGAAATAACTACATTATGATTTGCCGATGAATTTAGAGGCCTAGTATATTTCTGGTAATTATGTATTTGAACGGAAGTCAAAATACTACTATAACATTTTGCTACTTTTATGACAAATCATTTCACATTGATTACAACTTTCTTAAAGTAATATTTGACTTATTTCTCTCTCTTTACGCTTGCGTAAAACCCACTTCGTTTCTGGGAATAATACTATATGATTTCATGTAAGGCTACATAAGACAACGGTTAACTTGAGGTATAACAAAAAAAGCAATTGATGTATAGAACCAAAGAGCGTCTAAGCAAGAAATGCAGCAAGTGGCGATGAACAAGTAGACATATGATGACCAATCTTCTAACGGTTAATTGATGTATGGGCAGACAAAAGACATTGTTCACCATGAACTTTGGTAGGATAGCTAGAGATTGCAATATGAAGCTGCAGTCTCACTTAGATCCCGGCAGACCACGGCAGAGCCCCTAAAGGCGTCCGGGTGACCCGGGAACTACCGGAAACAACCGGAGTATATCCGTAACTCTGCCGGCAACGTACGGGATGATCCGGAAACATCCGGCATTCGACCCCGGATGGAATTAAATATTTAATTGATTGATTTAATCATATTTTATTGCTTGAAACATGTACATGTAACATAGAGATTACAATAATACAAAACAGAATACAATAAATACGAATAAGGAAACGTGTATGTTAACAGTTTGAAGCAAATGGGTTGGGCCACAAGTTTTACCAACATTAATGAAGGCCCTTCCCAGGCAAGTTTAAATAACAAAATGTTCATTCTAACACTGTCGGAAATTTTCCTATATAGACAAAGAAGGCCGGAAGCGTGCATTATTCTACACAATTCACTCGCCGTTCTTATTATCTCCCTGTATATTTTCACATTGAGGGCGCCATTTTGTTTAAAAATCTGATAAATAAAAACAATTTTTTGTCGAATTTTGTTGTGAAAACTATCTAGAATGATAGAAAATGGTCCAACGAAGAAAATGAATCCGAACACCAATATCTTTCATTCAGTCGTTAACAATGTACAGACGTTTAAAGTGTTGTTTACGTGACGTCACAATGTAGCGCCAAACAGCACGTGCAAAACAATCAAATCAAGTACGTTATTTTAATATCGCAGACGAGTTAGGTTTTACATTTATTTCACTTTTAATAATTTGTATTTCGCTTGAAAAATTATAGAGTGAAATAAAATGAACAAACAAAGTTTTATCAACGTTTTCAAAATTCGTTATTCTCAGAATGTTTGTACACACAGTAGATTTAACGACAGTTTTTTCCAACCCACTGGAACAGCCTTTAAAGAACGTTTCTATTGGAAACTCAGAGGCGAAAACAAATTTAACCACCAAACATAAAGTCCAACTTTATAATAATAATTATACTTTTTCTTTACGTGTTAGAATGGAAATAGATATTAATTCTTCGTGCATTATTGTATAATAATGCACGTTTTTCGTTCAAATGCGTTGTAATTAATCACTCAGGCTTTTTGGCCTTCGTGATTATATTACTACGCATTTGAACTCAAACCGTGCATTATTCTACAACAATGCACTCAAAATTGATATCTATTTCCTAATTATAGGCCTAAAGATACAAAACTTGTTTACGTAATTAATGTCTTAGGCGAAGAAACAAGAAAATATATGTTTTTTTGCGCATCATCAGAGCAATATTTACAGTTTGCTTCTATATATATCTATATTGATATAAAAGTATTTAGATGACAATATTATGAGAAAAAAACAACAACAACAACAAAAAATGATATGAGGTTTAAATATCATGAAATAGAAAAAAAAATACACATTCTAAAAACATCCAAACTTCTGTTCACCTTTCCTCTGAAAAAAAACAGGTTTCGCCTCCATTTCCGTTACTGGACCAGCATTAAAAATAGAAACACGGAGTTATATTTAATTATCATTAAGATATATTAAGTTCTAAAACGATTCGT